GCGCCAGGATGCCAGTCTGATTTTTTATTTTTTGTGGAGACGGGGGTCTTGCCGTGTTGTTCAGGCTGGTCTCAAACTCCTGGGCACAAGTGATCCTGCTCAGCCTCCCAAAATGCAGGGATTGCAGATGTGAGCCACTACTGTTTTTTGGTTCCTGTGTTTGTTTTTGTTTTTAATGTAGTAATATCACGGGCATGAGAGCGCTAGCTCTGGGCCACGCCCCTCATTAGGCACTGCAGATACCGCAGGTAACAGGAGGGATGCAGGCCCTGTCTCCAGACAACTCACAGCTCAGTGGGAAAGATAGTAGAATCAGGCAGAGCTGGGGGGTATCCAGGCAGGCTTCCAGAAGGCAGTGGCTGGAAACAAAGATGTGAAGGGTGGCTGGGCCCAGTGACTGATGCTTGTAATCCCAACACTTTGGGAGGCTAAGGTGGGGAGATTACCTGATATCAGGAGTTCGAGACCAGCCTGGCCAATATGGTCAAACGCCATCTCTACGACAAAATACAAAAATTAGGCCAGGCACAGTGGCTCACACCTGTAATCCCAGCACTTTGAGAGGCTGAAGACAGCGGATCACCTGAGGTCAGGAGTTCGAGACCAGCCTGGCCAACGTGGTGAAACCCCATCTCTACTAAAAATGTAAAAATTTGCCAGGGGTGGTGGTGCATGCCTGTAATCCCAGCTACCTGGGAGGCTAAGGCAGGAGAATTGCTGGAACCGGGGAGGCGGGGGCTTCAGTGAGCTGAGATCAGGCCACTGTACTCCAACTGGGGTGGCAGAGTGAGACTCCATCTGGAAAAAGAAAAAGATGTGACGGGGCATGGGTAGGGATTGACCAGAGAGAGTGGCAGAGCCAAGGCTTCTATGCAGAGGAGGGACACAATCAGGTTTGGTTGGTCCAGAGGTCCCACTGTCTGCTGAGTGTGCAACAAGCTTGAGACAGACCTCTAAGCAGCCTGGATTTGAGAGAAAGTTGGGAGGTGGTATCATGACTCCAGTGTCCTCACTCCAGGTAGTCCTTCCACCCCAGTGAACCTGCAGTCCACTGGTCCGTCCACCTCCCTCCCGCTGCCTCACATATCCTGCTTTACCCAAGATCAGCTTTGCAAACGCCAGCAACCCACTGCGCTTCTTGCTCACTTACTCTGGTTAAACTCATCCTCTTCCCTTCTTTGGTGCCTGTCCCTGTGCAACTGAACATAGTGATGAGGGAGATAAGAAAAAAACAACCCTGAGCCAGGCAGAATGGCTCGTGCCTATAATCCCAATGCTTTGGGAGGCCGAGGCAGGAGGATTGCTTCAGGCCAGAAGTTCAAGAACAGCCTGGGCAACATAGCAAGACCCCGTCTCTGCAATTTTTTTTTGTTTTTTGTTTTTTTTGTTTTTTGAGACAGAGTCTTGCTCTGTTGCCCAGGCTGGAGTGCAGTGGTGCTGTCTCCAGCTCACTGCAACCCCTGCCTCCCAGGTTCAAGTGATTCTTCTGCCTCAGCCTTCTGAGTAGCTAAGATTACAAGCATATGCCACCATACCGGGCTAACTTTTTGTATTTTTAGTAGAGATGGTTTCACCATGGTGGTCAGGCTGGTCTCGAACTCCTGACCTCAGGTGATCCACCCACCTCAACCTCCCAAAGTGCTGGGATTACAGGAATGAGCCACTGCGCCTGGCCAAATTGTTTTTTTATTATTAAATTATCTGGGCTTCAGTTCCTGCAGTCCCTTCTGACTGGTCTCCTGATTGGTTCTCCTGTGGACTCTTCATGCTGCCTGGCCTTTCTCTTACCTCCCAATCCTTCACTTTCTCCCTCCCTCCTAGGCCACCGTCCCCTGCCCTGCTTTCCTCCTTTCCACCCCCATTCAGCCAGTGACTTTGCTCACTGCAATATCCGCCTTCCCACTTCAAGCGATTCTCCCATCTCAGCCTCCTGAGTAGCTGGGATTACAGGCGTGCGCCACCACACTTGGCTCATTTTTGTATTTTTAGTAGAGACAGGGTTTTGCCATGTTGGCCAGGCTGGTCTGGAACTCCTGACCTCAAGTGATCCACCCATCTCGGCCTCCCTAAGTGCTGGGATTACAAGTGTGAGCCATGGCGCCAGGCCCTTATTTATTTATTTATTTATTTATTTATTTATTTATTTAGAGAGGTGGGCTCTTGCTCTGTTGCTTAGGCTGGAGTGCAGTGGCGTACCTGTCACTCACTGAAGCCTCAAACTCCTGGGCTCAAGCGATCCTCCTGATAGCTCTGGCTGCAGGTGTGCACCACCATGCCCAGATCATTTGCTTATGTTTTTCTAGACATGGGGTCTTCCTGTGTTGTGCAGGCTGGTCTCCCTAATGCTTAAGCACTGCCAGACACGCTGTGGCGCTCTGTGTTCTGTCTGTTCTGTGTCTCCCTCTGAGGGCAGGGATGCTTGCGCATTGTGTTGCCGGCTGTATCCCAACTACTAAGCACACAGTAGGTGTTATGAGGTCTTTTCTGCCAGCTGATTGTAAGTTTGAGGCAAAAGCAGAGGAGTCTAGGATTGCCACCTGGAGCTCCAAGCGCCCGTAGGGAACGGTGGGGGACTGCAGGTCATACCCAGGCCTGGGGCTCAAGTGAGGTGTCGGGTAGAGGGACCACATTGGGCTCATCTACATACGGGGTGGCAGCAGAAAAGAAGGCTCTCAGGCCAGACGCAGTGGCTCATGCCTGTAATCCCAGCAATTTGGGAGGCCAAGATGGGTGGATCACTTGAGGACAGGAGTTCGAGACCAGCCTGGCCAACATGGTGAAACCCCATCTCTACTAAAAATACAAAAATGGGTTGGGTGTGTTGGCGGGCCCTTGTAATCCCAGCTACTCGGGAGGCTGAGGCAGGAAAATCGCTTGAACCCAGGAGACGGAGGTTGCAGTGAGCCGAGATCGCGCCACTGTGCTCCAGCTGGGTGACAGAGTGAGACTCCATCTCAAAAAAAAAAAAAAAAAACAAGAAAGAAAAAGGCTCTCTGAACAAGGCTGTGGGGCAGCCATAGAGATGGCAGGGAACCTGGGAGGTGGGAGGTGGGAGGTGGGAGGAGCCACATGAAAGAAGCAAGCAAGCAGGCGGGATGCTGGTGTCCTGGGCTGTTGGGTGGCCCTGTGAGAGCAGGGGCTGGGCAGCAAGGGGCTGGGGCAGAAGCCAGAGAGTGGGACAAGGGGCAAGGGAGGAGGACCTGGGCCCGAGTGGGATGAGAGCACCGCAGCTAGGAAGCAGAGGGGAGAGAAGCCAGCCTGGAACCGCTGCCGTTGAGACGCGAATGTGTCTGTCTCGCTTGGCGGATGGGAAGGAGCTGGGACAAAGATGTGGAGGTCAGGAGGGCCAGGGGCTGGGTCTGAGGGAGGCAGCGGGGAAGGAGTGCAGGATCCCCAAGCACAGGCTGGGGGTGAGTTGCCAAGATTCCTGACGCCCCCGTGGGCATCCTCCTGAAGGTATATTTGTCCCAAGTCGGGTTTGCTAGGGGAGTGGGGCGCCAAGACGAGTCCAGCTGTCTTCTGAGCCTGTGCCTAAGTACCTTACAGGTTCTGTTAACTCAGTGGATGCTTGGGTAACGTCCATGACCTGAGGGTCAGTTCTGAGACTCAGAGAGAGGCCATGCCTCCAGCCAGTGCAGAACTGGGACTCAGGCAGGTTTCAGACAAGAAAGGCTGGGAGTGCTGACTGGAGCTCCAGGTGCAGGTTGGGGACTGAGGCAGTGCTCTGGGAGAAGGTGGATTCTGAGCTGGGACTCTGCATGCAAAGCGGAGCTGTTGAGAGTTGGGGCAGGCATCCTTGGGGGAGGGGAGGCGAGGATCCCACGAGGGAGTTGAGGTGCCTTGGGTGATGGAGAGCCTTCTGTCTGGGCCTGGGTGTCTGGAGTGGGCTTTGTGCAAATTGGAAACAGGCCCCTTCAGGACAGTGCATCCGAGAGAGGCAGCTGCCATCCACTGCCATCTGCCACCTGGATGTCCATGGGGGACACCCCGAGGTGTGGCTTCCTGATGCCGTGTGCCTCGGTCCCTGTGGGATCCCTGGAATTGGGGTGGGGGGCCTCTGGCCTGGTTGAACCCCACCCACTCCCTGCAGAGATGGTGGCCACACAGCAGCAGATGATGGACGCACAGCTGAGGCTCCAGCTGCGGGACTACTGTGCCCACTACCTCATCCGGCTGCTCAAATGCAAGCGCGACAACTTCCCCAATATCCTGGCCTGCAAGCACGAGCGGCATGACTGGGAGTACTGCGAGCACCGAGAGTGAGTCCCTGGCCTCCCACACCCCACACCCCCCTGGCCCACCGGAGTCCCCCACAGCCCTGGCTGGCTCAAGTCCCCTACATCTCTGGTCTGCACCTCACCCACCCGGGTCCTGGCCCTAGGCAGGATGTGGCTCCTGAGGCCAGGATCCTGAATTGACCCTGAGGTTTCTAGCCTGGCCCCACCTTAGTCCCAGAGAGTGCTCTTTAGGGGCCTGTTGGATGGGGACAGGGCAGGTGGCTGAAGCCTCCTGGGGAGTGGCCAAGCCAAGGTTCCAGTGGGAGGCCCTGCCACCTTCGTAGGCAGACCTCAGACCCAAGCCACAGGCACACAGGTCCTGTCCTCTTCGGAGGCCCCTCCAGTGCTCTGGGACAGCCCCTTCGCTTCCCGGGGCTTGGAGGGCGGGGGCCATGTCCTGGCCATGGACCTGACAGTCCATCTGGCCCTCTGCTGCAGCTATGTGATGCGCATGAAGGAGTTTGAGCGGGAGCGGCGGCTGCTCGTGCGGAAGCAGCGGCGGGAGAAGAAGGCGGCGGCAAAGTTGGCCAAAGGCCAGGGACCCGGAGAAGCAGCCCCCGAGGTGGCCCTGTAGGGGGTGCGCCCCCCACCCTATGAACCAGTCAAATAAAACCTTTCGGCCCCTCAGCCTGAGCCCCCTCTTACCGTGCCAGCTTGAGGCTGGGGAGAGCAAGGGGCAGTGTGGTGGTCCCCAAGCCCAGAATGACACACACAGAGCCTGAGTCCAACTGGGGCAGGTGGGTTTTATTCCAGGTGCTGGAGAGCTGTGAGCCCTGCCCCTACCCTGGGATGCCCCCGGGGTGGGGGCTGAGCCCAGGCAGGGGTGAACGCTCAAAGCAGGAAGGGGATGATGGGCATGCGCAGGGGCGGGTAGTCCCGGAACTCTTTCAGGTAGCTGCGGTGCTTGCCCTTGGCCCAGATGGTCATCTGGGTGAAGCCTACCAGGGAGAACAGGGCCACTGCAGGGAAGAACGGGCATCAGGGAGGAGCTGCCTGCCCGGAGGAGCAGGGCCCCACAGAGGGAGGGCTGCAGGCTCACCTGGGAGACACTGCGTCATGATGGCGAAGCCGATCCAGGACCCCACCTGTGGGCAGGGGCGGAGGGTGAGGGCCGGCAGGGCTGGGCAAGGACTGCTGTTCCGCCAGCCTCGCGCACCCCGTGCATGTGGCTACCCTGGACTTGCCCAGCCACCTCCCCAGATCCCTGCTTTCCGAGTGACGGGTGGAAGCCCAATTCCAGTGTAGGCATGGCTGTATACAGCGGAAACGCAGCAGCACACGCCTCCCGGCCCCCAGAGCAGGGAGGCAGCGGTCTCCACCTCCCAATGCTCCCTGTGCAGGGGGCAAAAGCAGCTGCCCAGCCAGGCGTCCCCTCCTAGAGGCTGCCCCTCCACATGGGACCCCAAGCCCCAGGGTAGACAGGGATAAGCAAGGCAGCCCCTCACCTCGTAGGTGTAGTTGGGGCAGGACACCAGCAGGAAAAGCCACGTGAAGGGGTTCTTGGTGGGGTACGGGATCTTCCGAGTCTTGGACCCTGGCAGGCAAGGCAGAAAGAGTCAAACCCCCTCATCCAGCCCAGCTGTCCCCCTTCCCCCTGCAGGCACTCACCAGCGGGCCGCAGGTCCCGCAGGGCCATGTGGATGGAGAAGTTGCCAAGCTGGCAAATCTGTCAGAAAAGCAGGATCAGCCCAGGGCCACCCAGGCTCCCCCAATCCCGTCCCCACCCCCAGCCTCCTTACCACAAAGATGGCGAGTGCCAGCTTCACCTGCTGAGCACCGTAGGCTGAAAAGGAAGCAAAGATGGGAGCCCATAAGGGGAGGGCACGGTGGGTAGGGACCGTGGGGGAGGGAAGCACGGTCTGAGGCTACTTACTAGGGGGCGTGTAGAGAGGGTGGTTGATGTAATAGGCCATCCATGCAGCAAAGCCCCAGTAGTAGGTGCAATTCTGAAAGGGAGCAGAGCAGGGATGGGACTTGGGCGAGCGCTGGAGAGGGCAGGTTCTGCCCATGTCTCATCCCTAGGGGATTGGAAGCATGGTAGGGGAGGACAGGAGCCTAGGGGTGGGGCGGGGGCAGAGCTCTGTGGGGTTAGGGCTGCAGAGAATAGGTGGGGCCTAGAGGTGAAGCTAGGGTGGGGCTAAGGCAGGGCTCTGTGAGGGCGTGGTGAACAGGAGGGGCCTAGGGGTGGGGCTAAGGCAGGGCTCTGTGGGGGCGTGGTGAACAGGAGGGGCCTAGGGGTGGGGCTAAGGCAGGGCTCTGGTGAACAGGAAAGGCCTAGGGGTGGGGCTAAGGAAGGGCTCTGTGAGGGCGTGGTGAACGGAGGGGCCTAGGGGTGGGGCTAAGGCAGGGCTCTGTGAGGGCGTGGTGAACAGGAAGGGCCTAGGGGTGGGGCTAAGGCAGGGCTCTGTGAGGGCGTGGTGAACGGAGGGGCCTAGGGGTGGGGCTAAGGCAGGGCTCTGTGAGGGCGTGGCGAACAGGAGGGGCCTAGGGGTGGGGCTAAGGCAGGGCTCTGTGAGGGCGTGGCGAACAGGAGGGGCCTAGGGGTGGGGCTAAGGCAGGGCTCTGTGAGGGCGTGGTGAACGGAGGGGCCTAGGGGTGGGGCTAAGGCAGGGCTCTGTGAGGGCGTGGTGAACAGGAGGGGCCTAGGGGTGGGGCTAAGGCAGGGCTCTGTGGGGGCGTGGTGAGCAGGAGGGGCCTAGGGGTGGGGCTAAGGCAGGGCTCTGTGGGGGCGTGGTGAACAGGAGGGGCCTAGGGGTGGGGCTAAGGCAGGGCTCTGTGGGGGCGTGGTGAACAGGAGGGGCCTAGGGGTGGGGCTAAGGCAGGGTTCTGTGAGGGCGTGGTGAACAGGAAAGGCCTAGGGGTGGGGCTAAGGAAGGGCCTAGGGGTGGGGCTAAGGCAGGGCTCTGTGGGGGCGTGGTGAACAGGAAGGGCCTAGGGGTGGGACTAAGGCAGGGCTCTGTGTGGGCGTGGTGAACAGGAAAGGCCTAGGGGTGGGGCTAAGGCAGGGCTCTGTGGGGGTGTGGTGAACAGGAAGGGCCTAGGAGTGGGGCTAAGGCAGGGCTCTGTGGGGGCGTGGTGAACAGGAGGGGCCTAGGGGTGGGACTAAGGAAGGGCTCTGTGAGGGCGTGGTGAACAGGAAGGGCCTAGGGGTGGGACTAAGGCAGGGCTCTGTGAGGGCGTGGTGAACAGGAAAGGCCTAGGGGTGGGGCTAAGGCAGGGCTCTGTGGGGGCGTGGTGAACAGGAGGGGCCTAGGGGTGGGGCTAAGGCAGGGCTCTGTGAGGGCGTGGTGAACAGGAAGGGCCTAGGGGTGGGGCTAAGGCAGGGCTCTGTGGGGGCGTGGTGAACAGGAAGGGCCTAGGGGTGGGGCTAAGGCAGGGCTCTGTGAGGGCGTGGTGAACAGGAAGGGCCTAGGGGTGGGGCTAAGGCAGGGCTCTGAGGGCGTAGTGAACAGGAGGGGCCTAGGGGTGGGGCTCGGTGGGGGCGGGATGGGGCGGAGAGGCAGGGTGGGCTCTCACCTTGAAGATGTTGCGCAAAGGCATGGTGCCATGGGAGAAACGGTGCACGAAGAGCGTCTCCAGCAGGCGCTTGACATAGTGGAATGAGTGGCAGATGCAGGCGAGGCTGGTCGGGGGGAGCGGGCTCAGCGGGGGCTGGTCCGGCAGGTCTTCCGCTTTCCCCTACCCTCCCCACGCCTGCCCCACTTACTGCACCACTGTGTGCCGGCTGGACGTGAAGTCGTATTTGTGGCCATAGATGAAGGGCACTCGGAAGTAAAAGAGCAGGTAGATGAAAAGTGGCCCCGCATACTCTGTTAGGAAGACCTGAGGGTAGAGGGGGCAAGATCAGTCATCCAGTCGGCTGACGGGAAAGGAGGCCGTGGGCAGCGTTAGGACTCACCGTCACCCAGCTGATCTGGGCCCCCAGGTCCCGGAAGTAGAGTGTAGCCGTGGTGCCCACAGGCAGCTTCTGTAGAACATCCTCATCCTTCAGGGACTTGCCCTCTGCAGAGAGGCAGGCCAGGGCTCAGGGGGCTGCCCCGGCCTTCTCCCACTGCCACCCAGGAGCCCAGGGGGTGGGCCAAGCGGACAGCTATACTCACTGGGGTCCAGGCGGAGGGATTGGCGGGCGGGGTACCACTGCGGGTCTGCAGGGAGAACAGGGCAGTCAGTCCACAGCCTGGCAGGGCTCAGCAGGTCCACTGCCCAGCCACTGTATCAGCGTCTCAGGGTTCCCAGGATGCAAGGACCCCCACAGCTCCTCCCCCCGGGGGGCAAGGCCTCAGGCCCGTGCAGTTCCAGGCCACTGGCTGGAAGAGCATGGACAGAAGCAGGATCCTGTCCTTCCCAGAGCCCAGCAAGGGCGTTCCTGCGGAGTGCCACGTGGGGGCGCCTGCCCCAGTCACACCCCAGAAGCCTGGGCCACACACGGGCATCTCTGCAGGCCCTGGGAGAGGCATGCAGGACGGGATCCCTCCCACCCTGAGGTTCTGATGGGGTTGCAGATGGCAGTGTGGCCCGGCCTCTGACTCACGGGTCTTGGTGAAGAGGTTCTTGATCTCCGCAATGGTGGCATGGGGCTCCACCTGGGGAGGTAGAGGGACCCAGGATGGGGAGGTAATGAAGGGGAGGACAAGCTATGAGTTGGGCTGCAGCTCTGGGAAGCAGGAAGGGCTAGGGTCCAGGCCTCTGCCTCCATGGTCAGGGAAGGAGCAGCGAGGGCCCTACCAGTGTGGGGACAGCGTGGGCCTCGGCTGGCATGCCCCCAGCCGGGCTAGAGGCAGATTAAGCATTTCTCTGCCCCTCCTCTCCACTCCTCACCCATGACTCCCCCAGGCGCAAAGGCCCTCTGTCTTTCCCAGGGACAGACAGCCCAAGCCCCTTCCCCCACGCCTGGCCTCAGCAGGGGCAAGGCTCACTCCTCTACCACCCTCCCAGGACCCAAATCCCTGCAGGGACCACTGAGGCTGCCATGCCTCCATTTCCGCCACACCGAGGGGCCACAGCTATCCACCCTACCCCAAGTGAGGGCATACTCCTCCATAGGGCAGGGGGGTGGGGCATGAAGGGCCCAGCTGGACAGCTCCTGGGCTGGAAGGAACGGGGTCCCAGGCCCAGTGCCCTTGGCCCAGGGCAGCCCATACCCCAGTCCTACCTTGTCCAGGAAACACAGCTTCTCCCTTGTCTTTGCATCCAGAATCTCCACCTCGAAGAAGAGAACAGCCTTTTTAGGTTTCTTGGCCACCTTTGGGGGTGCGGGCCTGGGGAGCCCATTGAGACCAGGGAGGAGGCCTGGGGTAGCCTCCCGGGCCACCAAGCTCAAGTTCATGTCCATGCCGCCTGCCACCCGCCCTGCTGCTCGCCTCTGCCTACGGTGGCCAGCAGCCCCAGCTGCCGGCCGTCAGCCCCCACCACCGACCTCCCCACGCGAAGCAGCCCTGGGCCGGGCAGGCGCGATCAAATTCTGCCGCGGTGCTGGAAAGGAGCCCGTGCCGGCCCTGGTGCTGCCGGCTCCTGTGCCAGATGTAACCCGAGTGGCAACCACAGCCACAGCCCAGCTAAATATAAAACCACCAGATTGCGCCCTCCAGAACCTAAGCCACAGACCTTCCCTGAGGGGGTTTGGGAGTCACCCCACCCCCAGAAGCCAGGCTGCCCTGAAAGCAGCTTTTGAGTGTTCACAGCCCATCAGCAGCACCAGGGCAGGGAGAGCTCCAGGGGCGAGCATGGCGACACCTCCCAGCCCCCCACCCTGCACAGAGCCAGTGGCCAGAGGAGGGGGAGAGACCAGCAGGCCACCCAGGCCCCGGCTCGCAGCTCAGGCCTGGAGAGTTGACTAGGCTTGGAGAAATCCCAGCTATTTTGAGACTCTGCCAGACAGATCATCCCATTTCCCCTTCTGAGCTGTAAGAGACACTTTGGATTATTTTCCTTGTGCATCTGTGTTACTAGGGAGGTGACAGATTCCGGAGTTATTGGTGCAGAGAGCCTCTCTCGAAGTGTGGAAAGGATCAGGGCTCAGGGAAGGTTTAGGCAGGCGCCCCCAGCCTGGGCTGAGGAGGCCTCCCTGACCTCCCTCCCCACCCGCTTCTCACTTGTAGCCACCTGTGGGGTATGCTTCCTACTGAGTTAGTGCAAACACCGCACCCCCAGCCAGGACCTGCGCCCCCTAAAGCCTGGTGCTTCCTGCATCCAAGAGCCAGACCTGTGCCAGCCCCCGAGGGAGGAGCCCGGCCCAACCCTCCCTGAGCCCCCAGGCCAGTGATGGACGCTGGGGATGCAGAGGGGCAGGGCTGGACAGAAGTAGTCCCTGGGGATCCGACCCCCACACGCAGGGGACAGGGGGCAGTGCTATCCCATTACACAAGGGTCCCTCCCAAGTCAGCCACCAGCCAGTGATTCTTGGGGTATCCTTCCTACTCATAGAAGGGGGTCCCCAGAGGCTGCCTGAGGAAAAGGAGCAGGACTCAATGCTCAGAAACAAACCTCAGGGCCAGGCCCATCTCAGGGCAGGTCCACACACCCAGAGCTCAGGAAGACCAGGCCAGGCACCTGAAGGAGAGGGCACCATGGTGAAGCCAGAGAGGCCGGGCACCCCTCCCGCACCACAGTGGGCGACACAGGGGGCTTGGCAGCCTGCACTCAGGGCCTATACAAAACCAGTCCTGTCCTGCAGTTCCTGGGGGACCCCAGGCACGTCACCTCTCTCTAACCCTCAGCCAGGGGCAGGTAGGAAGCAGACAACCCTCCAGGACTGTGAAGTTCCCCTGAGACTATGTGGGTGATGCACCAGCTGACTCCTGACAGATGGTGGGCACCCCATGGGATGGGAGGCTTGGCTCAGCTCCCCATTCCCCTGATGGCCTGGCGGTCACCACAGCAGGGGGGCCTACCTCCCCAGCTATGACACACTCACACCCCTTCCTGGACATGAGGGTGGGAATGGGCCCAGCAGTGAGGAAATCCTGGCCCATGGGGCCTCCTGAGTCCCTGCTGTCAACTCCACACTGCCTGGCCGTGTGGCCTCTCGGGGAAGATTACTGAACCCCTCCGAGCCACAGGGATAACAAGAGCAGAGGGCTGGCCCATGGCGGGACCAGGAAAAAGAGCTCGGTCACACCACATGGGACACCAGGCCCCACCACGGGGATCTGTGGGAGAGGGACAGAGGACACGGAGCGGGGTACATGGGAAAGGGTTAGCACAGCAGGGCCCTGGGCGGGCACGGGGCCTGCCCTGTGGCTGCAAGGATATTAATAGTTCCTGGGCCCCAAGCAGGCAGTGCCCACATGCCTCCAAGCCCGTGTGGCCGGCAGGAAGGCAGCCCGGCGTCCACAGGGAGAGGAGGCCTCCGAGTTCCTGCTGAACCACTCAACAGCTTAAAATACAACTAGCCCCTCTCCCTGTCCAGCCAGCTGCTAGTGGGAGGGGTGAAATCCTACCCTGCTCCCCCAACCCGGGCACCGAACCAGGGCCCAGGAGGGAGAGAACAGCCGTCGAGTCCCGGCTAGCTGCTGGGAGAGGACGATGGGCAGCAGGAGGGGGCGGCCAAGAGGGGGCCACGCTCACAGCTGCGGTGGCAGCGCCCAGGCCAGCCTGAGGCCCTAGGAGAGGAGATGCCGGAACCCGCAAGGAGGTAAGCCCGGGCTGCAGGGCAGTGCCTAGGGGCCCCCAAGGGACGGCTGCTCTCTCTCATGCCTGCCCCAAATCCCCAGCCCATTGCCCATCTTCCCCTAGAGAGAGAACAGAAAGGCCCTGGGGGGAACGTGGGACCTCTCCGTACTGTTTTTACAAATCCCCATGACTCTCTTTTCTTTTTTTTTTTTTTTCTTTTTGAGACAGATTCTTGCTCTGTCACCCAGGCTGAAGTGCAGTGGCAAGATCTTGGCTCACCACAACCTTATCTCCTGGGTGCAAACGATTCTCCTGCTCAGCCTCCCGAGTATCTGGGATTACAGGCACATGCCACCATGCCCAGCTAATTTTTTGTATTTTAGGAGAGATGAGGTTTCACCATGTTGCCCGAGCTGGTCTCGAACTCCTGAGCTCAGGCAATCCACCCCACCTCGGCCTCCCAAAGTGCCAGGATTACAGGTGTGAGCCACCGCACCTGGCCTATAATTATCTCAAAGTAAAAAGTTAAGTAAGCTATTCCGGGTGTGGGGGAGGGGGGGAAGAAACAAGTTATACTAGGTGAAGCAAGCCAGACACAAACAGTCCCATATCTATGCGAAATGCCCAGAGCAGACAGAAAGCAAATTGGAGGTGGCCAGTGGCTGGGTCGGGGGCAGAGGGATGGGGAGGCTGCTGCTGGGCCCCTGGTCTCCTCTGGGGTGAGGAAAATGTTCTGGAACAAAACAGAGGTGGAGGCTGACAACACTGTGCATGCACTCAGTGCCACTGTTCGCTTTTAAACAGTTTCACGTTATGTGAATTTCACCTCTATAAATTACTTTTTAAAGGGGCCAGGGATAATAAACAGGCCTCAAATACCCATCAAAATAAAAAGTCAGGTAGCAGAAGCAGGAGAGGTTCCCCACTCCCCCCCACGAGACCTCAGCAAGGGCTCACCCCCCACACCCCACTGCCACCCCAACCCTTGCTGACACACACACACACACACACACACACACCCCTGCCCAGGCCTGAGGCCAGCACAGGGCCGGGGCTCTCAGGGGATGCCCAGGGCTGCAGAGGGCACAGGTGGCTGCTGAGAAGAGCCCCAGGCAGGGGGTCCTAGGCACAGACGGGGAGGTGGCAGGCTCCAACCACATCTCTGGGAGAAGCGGTGAGGCAGGGAGGAGAAGGGGGCCCTCCAGAGGAAGCCCACAGAGGGGCTGGGAGGGGCTGAGATTTCTGGGCGAATGAAGGGAGGCCTGTGGTGGGGGCTACTGGTGTCAGCAGGTCTCAGCGGTAGTCACGGGCAATGGGTGTGGCCCCAGAGCCTCCAGCACGATGGGCAGGGAGAGGACAGGAGCGGTCAGGCGCTCTGGTGGCATGTGGCTCTGTGATGACAGTTCCACTAGCCTGCGAGGAATTCTCACCAAGAGGCCCAAGATTCCCAGGCCCAACCCATAGCAACTCAAGGCAGCACGAAGTCAGGGCCCGAAGCCCACCCTGCAGGAGGGGAGCGGGGTGAGGTCTGGCCCCCCCCCAGCCCAGAAGGGAGCGCCCAGGGCCTCGGGCAAGTAACAGGGCCCCGGTCTCCACTGTCTTTGTGATTATGAAGATATTACTAATAGGGGTAGGAAGAGTGGAAAGAGGGGCTCTCGGGGGACCACACCTGCCTGGTGGGTCAACAACCCAGAGAAGCAGAATCACAGGGCAGTCGGTCCCGAGGGCGGCGGGGGCATTTGCACTGGCTTTGCCCTCTGCCCAAAGGCTCTCCTCCGCACCACAGGGTTCCTCCCTGCCCTCCTGAGGCCTTCAGAGGACTGCTTGGCAAGGCCTTCCTGGCCATCTTTCTTTTTTTCTTTTTTTTTTTTTTTTTTTTTGAGATAGTGTCTCTGTCTGTTACCCAGACTGGAGTACAGTGTCAACGATCTCAGCTCACCGCAACCTCCACCTCCTAGGTTCAAGTGATTCTCCTGCCTTAGCCTCCCAAGTAGCTGGAACTACAGGCGCCTGCTACCACACCCAGCTAATTTTTTTTTTTGGATTTTTAGTAAAAATGGGATTTCACCATGTTGGCCAGGCTGGTCTCGAACTCCTGACCTCAAATGATCTGCCTGCCTTAGCTTCCCAAGGTTTGGCGTGAGCCACCACACCTGGCCGGGACATCTATTTGAAAGAGTGACCCCCCCACACCCCACCCCACCCCCCGCCAGGCCAGGCTCAGTGGCTCACACCTGTAATCCCAGCACTTTGGGGGGCCAAGGCGGGCGAATCACCTGAGGTCGGGATCCAGACCAGCCTGACCAACATAGAGAAACCCCGTCTGTACTGAAAATACAAAATTAGCCATGCCCGCAATCCCAGCTACTCAGGAGGCTGAGGCAGGGAGAATTGCTTGAACCTGGGACAGCGGAGGTTGCAGTGAGCCGCGATGGCACCGCTGCACTCCAGCCTGGGCGACAGAGTGAGAATCCGACTCAGTAAATAAATAAATAAATAAATATGATTAGACCAACGCTAGCAGAACACCCATGCCAGATGCACAGTGGGCCAAGCCCTGGCAGGACACGCAAGGTCCTTTCTCCTGGGACA